CATCGGTGTCATGGGGCCCTGGGCCCTCGTTAGCTCTTGACAAGGGCCCAACCGAGGGGCCCCAGGGCTCGGATATTGGAGGGCCCAGTGAGGGCCCAAGGGGGGGGGGATGAGGTGGCGGGCGGGGGCGCGGGCCGGGCAGCGAGGGCAGCAGAGGGGCGGTAGGAGAGCCGTGCGTGTGACTGGAGATCACGCGTATGTGTGTGTGTCTGCCCTCCCGAACGAGCCGACCCGCTCTCCCGCACAAAAAAGGGACCCCGGGAGGAGGGGGGAGAACTAGAGACACCTAACGACGAGCCGACCGGGAGGACGGCCGCAGCAGCCCCCCGTAAACACGCTCCCTCTCTCTCTCTCTCTCTCTCTCTCTCTCTCTCTCTCTCTCCCTCTCTCCAACCAACCACCCCACCACAGAGCTCCCTCTGCTCGGCCGGCCAGCCAGCCAGCCAGCCCTCAGTTCTCCCGGCCCCCCACCCGCCCGACCACCACGAACACTGCCACGCCTCACCCGCACACAACACACGCGTTTTCGCGACGTTTTCTGGATTTTCTTGCTTTTTAATTGGTTTTCGAGATTCCGAATCGATACGTCCGACTTACGAGCATTTTCCTTACTTCTGAATATATCTTACGCTCTTTTTGGACATTCCCCTTCCTTCCCGGGACCTTTAAAGAGACTGTGACTGTGAGGTCGTGCTCAGAACTTTTGTTTTTTTCATGATTGCTTCGGATTACGAACCGACATCTTTGACTTATGAGCATTTTCCTCGCCTCTGGACATCTCTTACTTTTTGGGGGAATTTTCCTGCCTTCCTGGGACCTTTAAAGGGACTGGGAATCTCAGCTCGTGCTCCGAATTTCTGTTTTTTTTCCTGGTTTTCTAGATTCTGAATCAATACCTTGAAATTTTGGGCATTATTTACCTCGCAGTTCATTACTTTTTTCGAGAATTCGTCAGCCTTCCCGGTCCCTTTAAAGGGACCGTGAAGTGATCCCGGAAATTTTATACTCATTTCTCAGCGTTTTTTGCCCATTTTGAGCCCTTTTTAAGTTTGATCTCTTTCTTTAACAGCTCATGCTCACCACGTTTTTGAACGTTTCTGGTCCCTTTAATGTGGGACAAAACTTATAAAAAAAATTGAGCACGAGATTCTCATTAGTATTATCAACTTACTGCCGATTTTGCATTTTTTCAAGCTTCCCGGCGCTCAAAAAGCAAATTTTCTTGAAAATTTTGTAAATATTATCCGGTTTTACGCTTGAAATTGCTTAAAATATTTTAAATTGCCTGAAGATTTTTGAAACCATATTATAACCGAAGAATACGCTAATCCTGCCTATTTACGACTTATTTATTCATTCTGGCTGCCGTCCATCTTTTCCATTGTTTTTCCCCCGGCCGAGTTGTTGCTGTGCGGGGTTTGGCATGGCGGGTGGTTGGTGTATATTTGCCAGTTTGTTTGTCTGTCCCCTTCCCCGGTCGTCAGTTTGCCCCCTCTAACCTGCCCATCCCCCCTCAAATGCCTCTATCGTGTTGGCCGACCATCGCCACAATGACTCAGAATGCCCCGGCCAGCCGGCGTGCATTGGAATTAACGAGTGGCTGAAAATTCCGGGAGAGTGGTTGCAGATTGCACTTTTTGAAATTCTGGCACCTTTCGCCAGTCTCGAATCAGCAAAGAAACTCTGCTAGCTTGCCTCAAATTTCGCAAAGAATAGCTGCTAGCTTGCCTGCTCCTACTCCGCAAAGATCCTTGCTAGCCTGCCTGGTCAATTCCTCAAAGAATCCCTGCTAGTCTGCTCCTCAAATTCCTCAAAAATTTACAGCTAGCTTGCCTATCTAATTCAACAAAAAAACTCTGCTATCCTGCCCTTCAAAACCTCCAAAAAAACTTTGATATCTTACCATGCGAATTTTTGCAAAGTTCACTGCCAGCTGCGTTGAATTCTGCAATTCCTGAATAATCTCTGCTGGTTCGCCTCACTAATTTCTCAAAGCCTCTCTGCTAGCTAGCCCTCCGTGGCTGAAAGGAACCAAGAAGGCCATGTAAAATCGGACCATGCTGTAAGCTAGCAGAGACCATTTGCCTATTTTCAAAACGCTAACCCCCTGCCTTCCATGCCCCTTTAAAAGGCGTGAAAGTGAGTGGATGGTGGGTGGCGTATCACCCGGTCATCTCCTTCCCTTGTTAGTGGATAGGATTGTGGCGGATCTGTTATCCTTTCCCCGTCAAATCATCCCCCTTCCCCCCAATTCCGCTCAATTCCCATTGACGGCCAGGAGTCGGGGGCTGGTCGATTTCCCCCACGGCGGCTCGTATCCACCAGCTTTTCCTTCAGCCTTTTCTCTTCTCAAAACGGTTTGTCCGAATTTCTCAATGATCTCTGCATGTTTTTTTTATTCAGAGGTTATGTTAATTCGATTTATATAAAATTTAATCCAATAACTTGCCGATTTTTGCTCTTACAGGGTTGTTGAAGACGAAAAACTGTACTTTTCTATGATTTTCCCCCTCTAAATCGCTTTTTTTGCACTTCGCCAATGATTACGGCCAGTTGTTTTTGTCCTGGGTTTATGCTAATTGAATTTAAATGAATTTAAACCCATTCCTTGGACAATTTTTGTCTTAAAGGGCCGTTGAAGGCAAATACCCGTCGATTACTCCGTACTATTGTGGATTACTTTCCTTTTACCTTACTTCTGTTCCCCTGCATCCTCAGAAATTCCTCAATGGTCTTTGCTAGACTGCCCAGTTGAAAACAGCTATATTCTGACTTTCCAATCCCTTGAAAGCAATATATAGGTCCTTTCTAGTATTTTTGCGCTTTCATTGTGGTCCTAAAGGAACTCGGCTAGCTTGCCTCGTAGATTTTAGCAACTTTTCGGCTTTCTAGTGCCTTTAAAAGGTATTTTTAGAACCCACTAGGTTCCCAAATGCTCTCTGCTAGCCTCCCTTTAACCTCTCTTGACTCGAGAAAGGTCGAAAAACTCCTCGGGGTGATTCGCGTGACTCGCCGTGTGCTTTGTGCACTTTCTGGGGCTCCTCCGGGCGGTGCGTCGGGCTCAATTCCAGGCGGCGGCGGGGGCTGTGCGTTTTGCGCTGCGTTTTGGCGCCAGTTGGCAAGAGCGGGGGGAGGAAAAGCGGAAAAACGAGAGGGCGACGAAAACGCGCGCGGGCTTTCGCAAGGCGGAGGGAACGGAGGGGGTGTTGGTGTCTGTTTGTCTCTCTCTCTCTCTCTCTCTCTCTCACTCTCTCTGGCCATTCCCATTTCTGGGCACAGCAGCAGATCCCCTGGCTACGACTCTGCACTTTGTGCAGCCGCCCCCGGCCTGGCCCCCGCTCGATAGGGCCGTCCCCTCACGCTTTTTCGAGCCCAGCCCCCCACCCCTCCCACCAGCATCGAAATTCCGGGACCGACAACGCGACACAACGCTGTGTACAGGGTGGAATGGAATGGAATGGAAAATAGAAATTTTTTCGAAAATTGGAACGCTGCCCTAAAAGGATTTCTTGAATTCCTCAAAGAATCTCTGCTAGCTTCCCCTGTGCTTCCATAAAAATAGCTGCTAGACTACCATAGCGTTTCCGAAAGGATCCCTGCTAGCACGCCTGAACTCCTTAAATAATCTCTGCTAATCTGCCCAGAAATTTTTCAAATAAACTCTGCTAGCTTGCCTTTCCAGAAATCCTGAAAATCTCTGCTAGCTTGCCTTTCCAAGCCCTGAAGAATGCCGACAGCCTGCCTCTAAATATCCTCAAGATACTCTGCTAGCCTAGCCCATCGTCCACAAAGAATCTCTGCTAGCTTGCTCGACTAAAAATTTGCTGTTTCAACTGTCACCACCCCTTTAAAATAGAGTATCATAACAACGCGCATTTTGCAGCGGGGAAAAGCCGTTCGGGGCGAGGGCTCGAGCCCGGCGAGGTCGAGAAAAACACGCGGGGCCCCTTCCACCCGTCCCTGCTGCCCTTGTTGTTGCTCGCGAGCCGAGCACTCTCTCTCTCTCTCTCTCTCTCTCTCTCTCTCTCTCCTCTCTCTCTCTCCCTCTCTCTCTCTCTCGCCTCCCCTCCGTCGGTTGAAAAAGAGGAATCGGCCTGACCCCCCGGCTGAGCGCGCCGTTCTCCCGCACTTTCCGACGAGGGGCCGATCTGGGTGACCAAACAATGTAAAAACATCGCTGAGAGCCGGGAAAAGGGCTGTCCCGCTCCCTTTAAACCGGGTTACGGTAGCTAGAGGACTTTAAGCTTCAATTACTGTACCTAAAAACTATACGGAATTTATGAAAACTTCTGGCTTCGAGAAAAACCTAAATTTTTTTTGAGCTGGCAAGCTGGCCAAGATTCTTTGGGAATTACGTTATTTTGAGTCCGCAACGATACTATTGACACGTCATGCTGGAGTCCGATTGTCACATTCCTTTAAAAGATGAATTACAGTATCTTTGCTCTAACACGTTCTAGTTTATTCAGTTCAGAGCTTGAAAAAGGTTAACTAAAAAATTTTCTAGGATACGCAATGATACTGCCGACAGTTTCCGCTAAATTCCAACTGTCCCACTCTCTTTAAAAGCAGGATTTCACTCATCCCGGCCTGAACTTCTTGAAGACGTGGGCCCCATCATTTCCAGCAGCTTTTTAGTGTCCATCGGAGTGTCGCGTAGTCTTCTTGCCAGTTCCTGGCATGATGCAAGGGTGGGGTTTCGAAAGTGCCCCCTTTCTAGCCCTCACTGCAACGTGGCCAAAGCCAGCCTGCCAGGGAATTTTGTTGTGTGGATGTGAACGGAAAGAGGGCACGATTTAGGGTGCAAATTGCCCCAATAACTACCGTAGCGGACTTATTGTTATGTATACGGTATCTAGGTGGAATTTCACGTAATAAAACTCCATAATTTGCTCTTTAGACCTTAGGAGTTATGTTTTTCATTAATTCCTTTCTTATTAAGTGGTTATACCCTAAAAACCGCCCAATTTGCAGAATACCCAACCCCCCGGTGTGAGAGGATGGTGGTGGCGAAGGTGGCCGAGGCGCCATCCCCACGCGAAGACCGCCAAGTCCTCCACCATGACGGTCTCGCCAAGGAGGTACGGTAGAAAACGTGCTTTTAAGGAAACGATAAGCTAGATTACGGTAGAATTAGCACACTTTAGCCAGGTCGATTGCGAATACGTCTGAAATTGTGTATTTCCCGGTTCGTTGCCTGGGGAGTACGGTAGAAATTGTGCGTTTTAGAGAGCCGAGAAATCCGGTGGAGACTGTAGATATAGCGCATTTCAAAAAGAGGCGAGAAAGTGGCAGAGTTACGGTAGTCATAGCGCTTTTTTAAAGGAGCCGGCAACCCAGGAGATACTGTAGAAATAGCGCGTTTCAAACGAGCGGGAAGGAAGCAGAGTAGGGTAGTGGTAGCGCTTTTTAAGGGAGTCGGTAGAAATAGCGCTTTTTAGAACGTGCGTGGCCCCGAGGGATACTGTAGAATAGGCGTGTTTCAAAGGGGCGTTGAAGGCAGCTGACATACGGTAGTCTTAGCGTTTTTTAAAGAAGCTTCTCGCAATCTCCCGGGAATAATGTGGGAATGGCTCGTCTTAACCAAGGGGATACTGTAAGAATTGCGGGTCTCAGAATCTAAGGATACGATAGAAATTTCACGTTTTTAAAGGGCGCGTGGAGACATAGAAAAATTTTATCTAAACTATTTTTTTCAGAACGAGGCGGCGCCTCCGGCCCCAGAGGCGATGGATACGGATAATCGAAGCGTATCCCCGTCAACGCTAGCCGCAGAAAAAGCCCGTCTACACGAACAGGGAATACTGCTGGAACGGTGGCTGGCTGACAATGAGAATAATCTCTATCCAACCAGGGAAATGAAGGACAGGATCGCCCTGGATTTGAAGACCACCTATATGCATGTAAGGAGGAGTAAAACGTAAACTTTAAAGGCGCTGGGAAGGGTGGGGAAAATGGAAAATAGGGGGAAAGCTAGCAGAGACTGTTTAGGAAAATTGAGAGCTAGCAGCGATTCTTTGGGAAAATAACGGCTAGTTAGCAGCGGTTATTTAGGAGATTTAGCGCAAGCTAGCAGAGGTTTTCTTTGGGAAATTGAGGGTCATCGAGCAGAGGTTGTTTAGGAAATTCAAGGCAGGCTAGCAGTGATTTTTTAGGAAATTAGGAACAAGCTAGCAGAAATTCTGTAGGAAGTTTGGGGCAAACTAGCAGAGATTCTTGGCGAAATTAACAGCTTGCTAACAAAGCTTTTTTTGGAATTCTGGCATTGCAAAAAGTAATTATTTGCTCCTTAAAAATTCCTAAAAGATCTCTGCTAGTTTGCCCACTCAACATCATAACTCAATCTTTCGATCCCTACCCTTAAAAGCTGTAGCTTCTCCTGTTTTCCCGAATTCCCAGGCTTGTTTTGGTTGATTTCCGAGTCGACCCCCTTCCGCCCTCTGTTTTTCCACAATTTTCATCCATTTTTCGTGGTGTATCTGGATTCTTTTTGGGGTCAAGGCTTTCTCGGCCCACAGCCAACAAACAGGCCACCGACACTAGCCGAAGAGAGGGGAAATTGGCCGACGCCGCGAGGTCGTTCGGCCAAGTGGCAAACTGCAAGGGGGCAGGCTAGCAGGGAGCATTTGGGAAATTGGGGCGCAGGGGGAAGCTAGCAGAGGTTCTTTAGGAACTAGGATTCCGGGCGAGCTAGCAGAATTCCTGGAACCTTCGGGGTAGCTAGCATCGATCATTTAGGAAGCAGAGACGTAGGGCAAGCTAGCAGAGATCCTGTAGGAGGAGCAACCTAGGGAAAACTAGCAAGATTCTGAAGGCATTAAGAAGGTTCTGGGCAAGGTAGCAGAGAGTTTTTTTGAAATCCAAGCATGCTAGCAGTGAATGAAAATGAAAAGGCAGGTGGGCAGGCTAGCGAAGAGGGTTGGCGGTCACGATTTCGAAAATCACCATTTCGAAAATCACCATTTCGAAAATCACCATTTCGAAAATCACCATTTCGAAAATCACCATTTCGAAAATCACCATTTCGAAAATCACCATTTCGAAAAGACACCATTTCGAAAAGACACCATTTCGAAAAGACACCATTTCGAAAATCACCATTTCGAAAAATCACGATTTCGAAAGACACCATTTCGAAAGACACCATTTCGAAAGACACCATTTCGAAAAATCACGATTTCGAAAGACACCATTTCGAAAGACACCATTTCGAAAAGTCACGATTTCGAAAATCACCATTTCGAAAGTCACCATTTCGAAAATTATCATTTGGGAAACAGGATTTTTAGCAATAGCCCATTTCCCAGTCGCAGAAAAAATGATTTTCGTTGGCTGGTTTGAGGTTCGGGGGTCTATTTTTCCACTGGAGATATGATTAATTTCATTATAGACACCACCAAAACAATTTCTATTACATCACTAGTCATATCCGAGAAAAACCGTAGTTTTTTGACACTGCAATTTTTATGCCTGTTTGAAACCGGGTCTTTTCGAACTGGGGATTTTTTCGAAATGGTGTTTTTCGAAATGGTGTTTTTCGAAATCGTGTCTTTTCGAAATGGTGTCTTTGCGAAATGGTGACTTTCGAAATGGTGTCTTTCGAAATGGTGATTTTTCGAAATGGTGATTTTCGAAATGGTGATTTTCGAAATGGTGATTTTCGAAATCGTGACAGGGAATCAGCGAAGAGCCTTTGAGAAAAGCTAGCAAATTTTCTCAAAAATCTATTTAGTGGGCAAGCTAGCAGAGATTCTTTGAGAAACTTTTCAAAGCCTCTGGGCAAGCTAGCAGAGATCATTTCCCCTTTTTCCAGGTAAATCGCTGGTTCGCCAACCGGCGCCGGAAGCACAGCAAGCGCGTCAAGTCGACCTCCCAAAAGCAGCAGGCTGACCAGGCAGCTGATGCTCAGGTGAGTCAGATAATTGGAGTTTGATTTTTTGACTAAAGGGACCTACAAGTCAAAATTAGCCCTGGCAAACTAGCAGAGACCACTTATCAAATTTTCTCTGCAGAACACCGGCTCGCCGACTGATCCGGAAGCCGCCAAAGCCCTTACCACCACCCGGATCGTCGAGGAGATTCTGCACTCGTTTGCCAAAGGTTGGTAGTGGAAATTTTGGGTTTAAAGGGACTGGGCAGTCAAGGATTTGGATATAAATCTATCGTAAATTTCGAAAAATCTGTTTTCTGACTCCCCAGTCGCTTTAGAAAATTTTACGTATTTTTCTTCTTCTTCTCCATCGTTTTTTGAGCTTTTAAAGGGATTGTGAAGCCAGTAAAACTCCATCTCTAATTTTTTCTTTTTTATAGCGTCAAAATTGTCGGTGTTTTTCGAAATTTTCGACATTTTTTGACCTCCGAGTTTCTTTAGCCTATTTTTTCACGTATGTATGATCTTCTCTAGGGTCTTTAGACTTTTAAAGGGATTGTGAAGTCGAGAAAACCGATTACTATAATTTTTCGACACAAAATTGTCGGTACTTTTCAAAAATTTCGAAATTTCTTGACTTCCAAGTGGCTTTTAACGATTTTTAAGTCTAAAACGATTTTAAAGCCGCGCAAAACCGACTACTATCATTTTCGACACAAAATTGTCGGTATTTGTCGTGAAATAGTATATCGTTGGCTTCCCAACCTCTTCCCCCTGCTCTCCATATATTTTCATGCACTTGCTGAGTGGAAGGCGAAAAATGGCGGAGGTGCATTTTGGAAAACAACCCACCAGGGCTCTGCCCTATTTTCTGCCCCCCACTCTCGGCCAGCCTCCTCCCTCCATTAGCAAAAATTCAAAGCCACCAATTTTGCGCTGAAATCCCGGGAAAATCCGGCTAATCCGCGGGGTATTTCTCCATTTCTCGGATTCATCACTTTTTGGTGAAATCATTTTTGATCGGGGGTCACGGGTCTTTAAGGTTTTAAGTCCTCAATGATCTCTGCGAGATAGCCTTCTTGAAAATCCCGAAGCATCCCTGCTGGCTAGCTTTCTGGAAATTCCGAAAAAATTCTGCGAGTTCGTGTTCTCGAAATTACGAAAAACCTCTGCTAGCTACTCGAGATTATGCAACATTCCTAAACGATCTCTGCTAGCTGGCCCTGTGTCGCAATTGATCTCTGCCATCTAGCCATTTTCTGTTCAAAAATTTCCTAAATGGTCTCAGCTCGCTCGCCTCCTTGAATTTCCTGCAGAAGCTCTGCTAGCCAGATAGCCCCAAAATTTTATCTAGAATATCGGCTAGCTGATCTCATGGATTTTCCTAAAGGATCTCTGCTTGCTCGCCTAGACAGTGTCCTAAGAGATCTTAGCTCGATCTCCCTCCACTGAATTTCCTGAAGAAACTCTGCTAGCCCGACTCCCCTAATTTCCTAAAGAACCTCTGCTAGCCTGCCCTTTCCCAAGACCCCCAAATATGGTCTGATTTTTGGCGTTTCCCCCAGTAGCCAGACAGATTTTGGAGACTAACGAAGACACGACCAAAACGAGATGACGAACAGTGAGAGAGAGAGAGACAGACAGACAGACATACAGACAGACTAACGGCGGGAGAGGCTCAGCACTCAGACCCCCGAACGGACACTCCCAAACACACGATTCCCTTCTTCCATTCCCCCCAATCCTATACCCCGGGCCCTTCCACCAGAGTCCAACAACAATTTTTGGCCACTGCAATACTATGGATAGTATTAAAATAGCGTAGCTGCGTTTTTATTCCTCAATTGCCTCTGCTAGACTCCTGGTCGTGTTTCCGATCCCAAAGATTTTCTGCCAGACTTCCAGTCGTGTTTCTGATATCTGCTAGCTTGCGAGTGGTGTTTATGATCCTAAATACTCTCCGCTTTCATGCCTAGCCAGCTTTCCTAAAGAATCTTTGCTAGTTGGCTTCACAAGTTTCTTTAGTAAAAAAAAGAGAGCCAGCAGAGATTTTTGCGGATGTGAGGCTAGCTAGCAGAGATCTTTTGGGAATTCATTCGAGGCAGGCTGGCAGAGCTCCTTGGAGAAATAAGGCGAGCTAGTAGAGGTGTTTTGACAAAAAACGGCTTTACTAGTTAGGGCAGGCTAGCAGAGATTCGATTGGAATCAAAGCGCCGGGCAAGCTAGCAGAGATCACTTAGGAAGGAGACAACTAGCAGAGTTCTTTAGGAATTGAAACGGCTCTAGGCAAGCTAACAGAGATTCTTCAGAAATTAAGGAAGTTTCAGGCAATCTAGCAGTGTTTCTTAAGGAATCAAGGAGCTTTTCGGCAAGCCAGGAGTGATCCTTTGGGAACAAGGGGTCCGGGCAGGCTAGCTTTGTTTCTTTAGGAACAAGAAGCTAACAGAGATCCTTTGAGCGTTTCAATTAGAGATGTTAAGAATCAATTAACAATCAAGATTATTTGCATATAGTGGCACAATATTATTTTATTTGGATGGGGCTGAGCGCATGACCAAGTAAAATAATATTATTTGACTCCGCTCGAGAAAGATCCAAGTAAGATTACTTGATTTACTTGATTTACTTGATCAAACAATAGCTTTCTGGAATTCGGGCATTTTTCGGATGGTAATGAACTTTATGACATGATCGCATGTTAATTTACTGGGTTCGCGGCACGATTGCCTGATTTGCATTGCGAATTTGCACAAAATCAAGTAATTTCGCTGAAAATCAATTATTTCTCCCAAATCAATCAAGATTAAGTAGATCAAGTAATTTTATTTTACTTGATGCTTATTCAAGCAAACGGCGTAAAATAATTTTATAGTTACTTGAAAATTTCAGATGCAAATAAAGTTGTTCAAGTAAATTTACTTGGTCATTATATTACTTGATTCGTAACATCTCTAGTTTCAATCAAGTGTGGGTGTCTATGCGAACGCGATTTTCCCATAGAATCCTCCCTCCCTTCCCTTTGGCTAGAGGCAGGAATATCTGGGTGTGCAGAGGGTGCTGTGTGTGTAGGCCCGGTTCCCCCCGTCCGATTTTCGCGCCAATTCGCCCGGTCTATTTCCGCGAGCCGCCCCGAACCCCCCTCAACCACAGCCACCTCCTCTCACAGAATGCACCAGACCAGCCAATGTTTCTTCATTTTTTAACTTGAATCCTTCGGTTTTCGAACGTTCTAGGTCTGCTAGCAGGGATTCTTGGGGAAAAGGGATTCAATTCCGGTCTCCTCGGTGAGAGGTCTCTGCTAGCTCGCCTTCCTGAACTTCCTAAATCATCTAGGCTCACCCAGTTGAATTTCCACAAGATTCTCCGCTAGCTGATCCCATGAATTTTCCCAAAAGATCTCTGCTCGATTTCGATCTCACCTATATTTTATAGCCACGCTATTTTGAACCTTTTTTCCGGGCAGCCAGCACTCCAATTCCGATCCCGTTTTCTTGGATTCATCAGCCATATTAAGCGACTAGCATGGCCCATTTTGGAAACTGCTCCAAGGATGCAAGCAGAGATTACTTAGGATCCATGCTCCCTTAGGCAAGCTAGCAGAAACCTTTTGCGGACCGAGCCCGAAAACACTCGACCGCACTCTGCATAATGTCGGACGGACATTCGGGGGTCATAAATCCTTTGTATGCTTGGGTCAAAGGGCCGGATCAAAGCCATAGAAACCCAGAGCGAGAGAGAGAGAGAGAGAGAGAGAGAGAGAGAGAGTGAGAGAGAGAAGGCAGGCTAGCAGAGATCACTGGGGAATGAATGGAAAAACCTGGGGGGTTCTAGACGTCCGGATTAGAGAGGAGCCTTGGATTATCGGGTTTCTGGGAGTCGAAGTGCTTCCGGAAATAGGTGTGGTTTGGAAATTTCGAAGACTATATAATCTCTGCCTAGTGGAATTCCGCAAAAACCTCGACTAGCTTGCCTGACTTACCGAATTTTGCTGAGATTTTGCCTTCCCGATCCCTTTAAAACGCGTTTTTCCACGTTGAAGCGCTAAAAAGGCAACATTTCTGCTTCAGCGAGGTCACGCCCTCTTCTGATAAGCTTTAGAGTCCCGTTTCGCCTTGATAAAAAGCTTTCCGCTTCACCCATTGTGGCAACGGGGCGAATTTCGCCGCGTTCTACCCGGTGGTGGTGTCCACTCCGGCTCCGGCGCTGTACAAATTACAGCCGGGCGGACGGCTCGGCCCGGCCACTCGAGCTGTCCCTTCTTGCAAGAGACACCCATTTTTTTGAGGCCTTGCTAAATTTTAATGGCGATTGTAGCTCGTAGCCTAAAAAATCTGAGACTGCAAATTGCCTCTGCTAGCCTGCTCTGGTCTTAAAAACTTCCCAAATAATCTCTGCTAACCTGCTCAGACTCCAAATTCGCATTTTCGCAGCTAGACACGCCAATTTCCGAACCCATACCCTGTACGAATTACCGGAAGTGCCGGTCCCGCCAAAAATAAATCGTACCATAGGTGCTAAATTTGGCCAAAAACTAATACGACTTTTGTTATGCGGGGAGGAGGGCTTTCTCAGCGAGAGACGGGAGAGAGAGAGAGAGCGAGAGCGTGAGAGAAAGAGACGCCAGAGAAATTGGATTGTGTATAGCCGCAGGGCATCTCATTCCCCTTTCTTTCACGCCAATTAAGGGGTAGGGAGGGGGACCCTGGGGGGCTTATTAAAGACCGTCAGAACGATGAAATTCCGTTGAGAGCAAGAAAGTTGCGCACCGAGCGGGAGTCGAACCCGCGATGGTTCGCTTCACAGTCCGACGCGCTAGCCACTACACCACAGGGCCAAGTGGGGAAGGGAGTCAGAGACGCCCCAAACCGCAGTGGGCCTTTGCCCAGTACGGGGCACCACTAATGACGCATCTCTCCGCGCGTTCTTGGGGGCAGCACCCTCGGGGTGACAGTGCGCGTTCCATCGTTCTGGTAGTCTTTAAGGACCCAGACGCGGCCCTATAGGCCCAATTCCGACGGCTATAGATTCTAATCTAAGGGGGAGGTTAGCAGGGTTAATTGTGGAAATGAGGCAGGCTAGCAGAGGCACCTTGAGAACGATTTTTTGCATTTTAAAGGGACCCTCAAGGCAAGCTAGCAGAGATCTTTTGAAGCCCTCTAAAGCCACTGGGGCGCTAAAACTGGATTTTTTATTTACGAAATTTTTCCTTGTTTTTGGTGATGATATTGGAATTTC